AGCTTTTTAAACATTAATTAAATAGTTGGTTGATTCGCTTGACTAGTTGAACTATTTAACCATACATATCAATGGATAATATCCACTATTTCCTCACAAAGCAGATACGAAGTAAATAAAAAGGCCAAAAGCCAAAAACCAACATACATGGTAGGTAAAACTGTAAAGGGCAAAAGGCAAACAAATTACTTTGATTACCATAATTAATTAAGGATGGATGTTAATCCTTAATTAAGGAGAGGGAAGAGGGTAAGTACTACTCCCTCCGTCCCAAAAAGAACGACCCATTTGGGTTGATTACGCGGGTATTAAGGAAGTTAAGTAAAAAGAAGTAAAAGTATATTGGAAAGATAAATTTACATGGGGTTTGTAAAAAATAGAGAGAGAAAGTAATAAAATAACATGGAAAATCAAATTTTTATATGGAGAAGCTAATTTTGCACAAATATTGTTGCAAATTGGTGGTGTTTTAATGCAAATAGGTCATTTTTTTTGGGATAAAGTTTTGACCAAATAAGTCGTTCTTTTTGGGACGGAGGGAGTAAGTAGGCAAGTAGCCTCGAAGGCAACGCCAGCCTCCATGCCTTTATCAAAGTGGTCTCAGTGTCTCACATCTGCTTTCGAGCGGTTCCCCTTGTTTGGCTTTAATCTTTCACTAAACTTATTATTAATACAACAACATCAACAAATTATTTCTATTTATTCCTCTATATACATAATTATATATTCTCTTGATCTTCGTGCTCTCCTCTTCTTTTTCCATCAATTATTTAGCCTTACATTATTCCCATCATCATAGATTATTACTAGTCGTACTTAACTACTTACGAAACAATGTTACAAGTGGTAATGTAGTTATAATTTAGTTAAGTTAATTGCCTTCAGATCACCGACCTATCCCACGAACCTTAACCACGTTATTATACTCTACGTACTATGAATATGACAAATTAGAGAGAAGAGAGGATGAATAGCTTGTTTATTATTCATCGATAGGTAGAGTATTTATACAAAACCTACGCCCATAAGATAGGAAACAATATTCCTAAAAGATATACCATATATCCTAATGATATATTCTCTAAATAATATCTTAACATAAGATAATACTAAATATATTATTCTCTTAAATGATATCTACGGAAAATATATTACACAATATTTTCCGATATCTCATATCTCTAACACCCTCCCGCAATCGTAACGGCGGTAATACGAACGTTGCGATTGGAAATTCTTCAATTTGTTGAAGTCGAGATGCACACTCTTGTGATGTCTCCTTCAATTTTTTTTTTTTCTTCTTTTTCAATGATGAGAACGTTCATCTTTTCGAACTCATCAGTCATCAATCAATCAAGCAGGAACGTCATTCTTTTCGAACCTGCAAATATAATATTTTTGGTTTTTCCAGAGCAAAACCGAGCTCCAATCAAATATTGGTTTTTCAGAGTAAACCACACTCAAATCTTTTATTGGTCTTTCAGAGTAAACCACACTCAAATCTCTTGGTCTTTCAGAGTAAACCACACTCAAATTTTTTATTAGTTTTTCAGAGTAAAACCAAACTCAAATTCAAAAGAGCAAAATCATGCTCAAATCAACTCACAAACCTTGTCTCACGGCACAAAGAGAACCAAATATATCTTGTCTCACGACATAAGAGAACCGTTTTTTTAATTTTTTCATCTCCAAAGATGTGTTATAGTGGAGGAAGTCCACTCACATACTCCCAAAAAAAAAATTCTCCCAAAAAAAAAAATTCACATATACATATATGATACGTGTACCAACCCAAAAAAATAAAAATTTAAAAAATATTAATATTGCATAGCGGAAGCAAAATTTTGAATCCCACCGGTGGGTTTAACTTTCTAACCCACCGGCAGGGGGGCAAATTTTTGTGAGCGGTCCCAAGATTTAACCTGCTCTTGATACCATGACAAATTAGAGAGAAGAGAGGATGAATAGCTTGTTTATTATTCATCGATAGGTAGAGTATTTATACAAAACCTACGCCCATAAGATAGGAAACAATATTCCTAAAAGATATACCATATATCCTAATGATATATTCTCTAAATAATATCTTAACATAAGATAATACTAAATATATTATTCTCTTAAATGATATCTACGGAAAATATATTACACAATATTTTCCGATATCTCATATCTCTAACAGAATATGATCGAGTACACTACTACTCTACACTATTACTAGTCAAATAGTGAGCACTCAACAGCTTGAAGACGCACCCATATGTGACATTGGTCTTGATTACTTTGGTCAATTTGAATGTTAATCTTATAATCTTGGTAAAACATCATATTCAGTTTAGTTTAGCTTGTCCAGTTCAGTTTAGCTTCAATTAGTTTAGTTTAGTTCATCATTTCCTTCTCTTATAAACAATTCATTTTAGTTCAATTAAGTTCATTTTAGCTCCAATCAGTTGTTTCAATAAATCGAAACAGACCCTTAGTAATCTATCTAGCCTTTTATATTAATTAGTTTTCAAATTTTATCCCCTTCAATATTTTTTTATCAAGATCTGCCACTATTTGTATATAAACAGATTTTTATATGAAACTCACTTATTAACTTGTCATTTATACACTCTTAACAATATCATGCATTGTATTTTATGGTATTTTTGTAGTGACTCATAATCAATATATTTAGAAATATGGACTATCAGTATTATATTACATTCCAGTACTGCATTTTGGAAAGTAAGGAATAATTCAAATGGTTAAATCTTTACTCTCGATTTCAAATTTTGATCTTAGGATCGATTTCAATCACTTGTTCTTGTGACTCTCTATACACCAAAAAAACATTCTATTCTACTACCATAATACGAGTAATAATATACTAATCAAATTAAGAGTTTAAAAATAAAAAAGAGAAATCCAAAAAGATATTTTTAAAAAGGGGAGTGGAATATTAAATAATTTTTTCCTTTCCCTACATAGGAATCTCTAAAATCGAAGCAGCTTTATCGAAGTGCTTAATTAATTAGCCCCCCGCTAAACACCACTTCCCTTCTTTTTCACTTCCTCCCTCTTATTCCCTCCTTTTTCTTTTCTTAATTTTTTTTTTAATTTTATAAAATTAAAAAAAAATAGAAATAAAAAATGGGCCTTTTTCAGTTTCCAAAATGTTCAAAAGATGTTGTGTGTTGTGTTGTTTTTATTCAATCCTATTCAAATGGTAATTGCACGCCTTTTATTTCAAAAAAGCTTCACTCTCTTTTTTACTTGCTCTCCTCCTTATGCTTTTAAAGCTTCTTTATCTAAAGTGACCCCCCCTCCCCTCCCCTCCCCTCTCCTCCTGAATACAGAACTGTGTGATTCTGGATATTCAGAAAAGCAACTTAGTTATTTATACAACTAATTTAAAATTATCAATATTTTATACTCCGTATCAGATGATTAGATTAGGTATTAGTTACAAGAAAAATGTTAAGCAAAATATGTTTGTGAATAACGTAAAATTTATTATACAACGCATATTACGGTCTGTTCTCTTCAGCTTATTTTCAATTTTATTCAGTTTAGCTCTAATTAGTTCAGTTCAGTTCCTAATTTCCTTCTCTTATAAGATATTAAGTTCAGTTCAGTTCATTTCAGTAAATCAGAACAGACCCTCAATGTATCGCGTACTAGCCATTATGCCAAAACCTTCATAAGGCCTTGTTTGTAAATAAATGGATGATTGAAGAGCTTTTAACTTTTGGGGAGCAATTATAGACAATTTGATCACATAATCAACTAGTTTTGGTATTTGAAAAAGAAATGATTCAATGCCCTTATCGAAGTTCAATAAACCAATTTGAAAATGAGGTAATGATATATGTAACCCTTAGGGCTATATAAAAGCATTAAATATAATTTCTAAAATGGAATTCAATTGAGAAATCATGACAAAATCACGCTCAAATCAGTGTATTTAATGTTAATTTATCCTCAATATCCTTTTTTAGCTTCTTAATCATAACTCTTAAGGCTATGTAATATGTATATCATTTTTCTTTGAAATGATGCTCAATCCGATTTTTTTAATAAAATTGGTCTGAGTAATTCTTATGATAAGCTATTTTGGTATTTGGTAAAATAGAGGATTTAAAGAATTAATCAAAGCATATACTAATACAGCTAGTCAAGTCAGTTACTCCTTACTCGTAACACAACAAGTTATATCAGCTAGCTATCAGCTAATCTGTCAAACCATACATAAAATTTATTTCTCAATTAGTCACATGTACATCACAAATTATGTGTAACTAACCAACGCTATTAACGTGACTAATATCTAGTCTGATTGTCAAATAATTTCACATGAAAACTCCTCTTCTATATTAAAAAATAAAAAATAACAAAAACAACGTATACTCCATGTGATCAAAGAAATGCTCACAACTCACAAGCGCATAAAGTAATTATTAGTAACATATATATACATCACAAATTGTGTGTAGCATGCATATGATTAGCGTGACTAATACTAGGGGTGAGCAAACTAAATATCGGTCAAAATTTTAAGAACCAAACCTATGATTAGTTGGGATTAGGTCCTAAAATTTAGACTTGGAACCGATCTTAAAATTTAGAAATTGGAATTAGAACCGACAGGACTGGTTCCACCTATTTGTGTGCATACTTGTTAAAATTTAATACAAATTATAATACTTATTTTGATCCATTTTTATTTTTAGGGCCTGTTCTTATGTACTGAATTCAATTGAACTTGAACTGAATTGAACAGAGTATTTTATGAGAAAAAGAAATTAGGAACTAAACTGAATATTTTATGAGAGAAGGAAATTAGGAACTGAACTGAAATTAAGCGGAAGAGAAGAAGACCTTAGAGTTTAATACTTATATTTATATATGTATTAAATTATTTTATTTATGTTAGGTATTAATAATACGGAGTATATTTTATATTATTTTATTAACTAGATACATTTTACAAATTTTTTGTTTTTTTTTTAAAATATATTCATTATGTAGTTTAATATATACATGTACCTGGGTACTTAATCGGTTTCGTTTCAAAAAAAAATAGAGAAATGCAACTAGTTCCTTAATTTATTATCCATAATTCGAGTTTGATTACCATTTTGGACCACCAATTCCTAATTAATTTGGATTCTAATTCCGGATATTTGGAATTTTTGCTCACCCTCTAACTAATACCTGGTCTGATCGTCAAAGTATTTCACATGAAACACCCTCTTGTAGTCTTCTATACTATATTTGAAAAAAAAATAAAAAAAATAATGTAACCTCCATGATAGTGGTATAAAAAGAAATAAAGAAAGGTATCACTATTTCCAACTTCACTTGCTTCCATTTTATCCCCATAAAATTCCCTTTCACTTGGTTTCAGTGTTAGTGCTCTCTGCTACTCACTTCACTTCACTTCAATTCTCCCCACCCTAACTTCTCAACCTTACCTTCAATTCATTTCTTCTTTTTTCCTGAGCTTCGTTTTCTCAATCTATTTCTCTCTCCTATTTTTCCATCTTCCTCCATTTTTTTCCTTCACTGTTTGATTTCTCCGTAATTATTTGCTTCTTCTCCAAGTTTCTACGGTTAGTTTTTTGTACTTCCTATATTTTTTTTTAGTAATTTTAATTTCTTTATTTAATAATACAGTTTTCAACTATTGAAAAACGCAACAATTATTATTTCTGCAAAACTTTTTTTTTTGAAAAAAATTATTTCTGCAAAACTCAATCCATGAATATCCACTATTTTTTTTTCTTCAGATTTTCAACTGTTTCATTTTCAATTTTTCTGCAAAAATTAATCAACGGTTTTTGAACGAAATTTAAATTCCTGCATGAATTTTTCGTATTTTTTTTTGAAAGAATTGATCATATTTGATTACTGGAAATATGTTAAATAATATCCACGGAAAATATATTACACAATATTTTCCGATATCTCATATCTCTAACAAAATATTAATTACGGAGTATTGGATTAAAAAAAGACGATGAATAAATAAAAAAGATGTCGCAATCAAAAACACAACGTCAACTCTGATTTCTGCAAGATCTCTAATCAGTAATGGCTGCATAATAAAACTGCAACAGCTGCTGCTACAAGTCTAATACTACTACTACTACCATATTTCTTAGATTTGCGTTACTTGATATATTTTTTCTTTCCTACTTTTGATCGCATTTAATTTTCTTCCATTAACAAATTAAATCTCTGGAAATGATACGACTATTTCGACTCGAACTTGGTCGTCTAAGTAGCTGCAGTTTTTGATGTTGTTTCAGAGATTGGAGTAGAATTTTTTATCAAGTATCATCAAAAGTGGAGAAGACTATACGACGTAGTTTCCTACAGTCTAGCTACTTGTTGTGATATTAATGCTAAACGGCTCTGCTGCTAGGTTTGTTTATTATCTTGTTCTCTTTTTATTACGGAGAAATTTATCGATTGATGATTGTTAACTTGCACGCGCGTTCACTGTCTAAATTATCATACGTGTTTAAGGGTGTTTTAGTCATATTAATTACTTTATCCGTCCCTTAATGTCCCTTAATACTAAGCCTATTTTGAATTTAGAGATGGAGCGAGTATTAATTAGTTACTCTATAAATGACTACGGAGTTGTTTTAGTGTTGTAGTGGTTACTCCGTTATTCATAGTCATTTACGGAGTTGATTTTAAATTTATTTGAAGTGTTGTGGATATAATTTTATGGCTTGTTCACAATGTACTCCGGATGGAAGTCCGGAGTATACATGGTTAGACTGAGCCTACTTAATTAATAAGAGGAATTTAAAGGAGGGTACATTTTTTAAGGTAATACTCTCTCCTTGAGTAAATGAGGGAGTGTAATAGAATAGTGAAATTTAGTTGGTTAAAAGTGATTATAAACATAGCACACCATAACAAAATGATGAGATTTTTGTTGATTAAAAATAAATAAAGTACAATAGTTAAAAGAGTAAATGCGAATGAGATTTTTATTTAGAAGTATTATCTGATAATGTAGTAAAATTACAAATATAGTCAGCAAAAGTAGTACACTAGTTCACCCCTAGAGACTGGGTAAAACTAACAACTAACAACAGTCCTGTTTTTACTGCTACTACTACCTTAGATTATGTAATTTCATTTTCAAATCTGTAGCTATTTGGTATTTTCTGAAGCTTAATTCTATAAATTTGTTTGTTAGGGATTTGTCCTTTTTAGATGGGTAATAAAATTCAAACACTACCATATCTTTTGTAGCAGAAGAACTAGGAAGGCGTGTGCGAGGATATTCTTTTGTTTTGGCATTTATTGAGCTTATTATATAAACGTGAGAGTGAATAAGAAGAGGGGGCAGTTATTTATTTAGAGAGAGAAGTTGAAATGTTTGTGTGTAAACACATGTGTGGAGTGACCTTTTTTGCGTGTTCTTGTGGGTTTCGCTATTATTAGTAGCTTATGCTACGGTTTATTTAACACGCCCAAGGTAAAAACTTTTTTAAAAATGAAAATAAATTATTGGGTTATTGGTTGTATCATGATGTTCCTACTTTGTATTTTTATTTACTACTCGTAGGCCTCGGACCCATTTGTTTTTTGAGAGGTTAACGAGTCATATGGTGCAAACAAAAAAGAACAAATGAAGTAGTATTAATTTGTTTTTAAACTCACTCCCCCGGTCTCCTTAAGTTTTATGACTATTACCCTATCACTTGTATGTTTCTCTTTGACTATTTTGTTATCATGTTATGAGTAACAGTCATGATCACAAACCATGTTTGTGCCTTTGCGGCTGATGTGGGTGGGTGGTTTGCAACTAGTGCAGTCTAGTATTATGTTCGCGGCAAGCTTGAAATCCTAAATGGTGTGGTTGTGAAACGATGATGCCAGTGAGATCTAAAATTATACCATTAGTGATACCTTTAGCTTGAGCCCTTTTTCATCACTTCTATGTGGTTCTTTGTATACCAAAAAGAAAATATGGGCCATTTTTTTCATGTGAGTAGCCAAAAAGTAGGAGTGAAACACTGCATTTATATCAAATGACAAACAAACCTATGTGAAGTGTGGAGAAAATCCTGAGGTAGAATTTTGTCAAGGATAGTGCCGTCATGTACAGTATAACATACCAAAAAATAAAAATAAAAATAAAAATGGTAGAACTACAAAAATAAAATTGCTGAGTACTGTTTTTTTTTTTTAATTTTTTTAATTTTTATTATTATTATTATTTTTTAATATTTAAATATAGAGGGGGAAGGGTTGAAAACTTAAAATTATCTTTTTCTGCATGCTTTGCTGCAAAGTGATTATTGCTTGTCTCACATCATACATGTAGTGGAAGAACCAAGGGTTAGAGTTATGAGCCGTCCTATACATTACTATAACTTTACTTTATGTAGCTAAAATTTAATGTGATATCTTAAATCTTCCTCAGTTACTTGATATAGGGTAACCCGTTTGTTGGAGACTTGAAATTAATACTATGTTAGGTTGTAGTAAATTCTAAGTCATGTCTCCATATTTAAGATTGGCTCATTATTATCATTAAAAAATTCTAAAGCAGAGAAGTTATTTGATCTTTGTATATTAAATGTCAGCATGTCATCAAACATCATAGTTGGGTACAGGACTACAGGGTACCACTCCTTATGATCAAAGCTATTTAACCATTGTGGTTTAACTAAGGAAGTTACAACTCTTTCAAATACTCCGATCCGTAGTAGATTTTGCCTAATATTTTGGCTGTAAATTAAAAAATCCGAGTACACTTGACATGTCTAAGCTCATGCCAAGATTCAGGATGTATTGGTTAGGTGAAAGTTGGAAGTTTATCTCTGTAGAATAATGCGTACTTATGGCAAAACGTACTTATCATATCTAAACTCATGTCAAGACGTAATTGCTTTTTGTTTTTACAAGGATTCAAGTTCTAATGGTTGTAGCCTTGAGGGACTAATGGTTGTAGTCTTGTACTCCTTGAACTGCTAATTGAAGTTTCAAGTTTAGCTTGAGTTGTGGCGAAGCTGAGAATAATGGTGCTAGTACCAATTGAGTGAGTCTACAAAGTACCTGTAACTAATAATCTGATTAGTTTGTAGCTGGTTTAAGCTATTTTATCTCTAAGTAGTACCAAGACCTGGCTTTAAAAGATGGTGTTCAGAACTGCCCTTAAACCCAAGGTTATCATGCTTCAGGACATTTTCTTTTATCCAAGGGATTTACCCAAGAATATTGCTAATTCTCCCTAATTGGCAACTTCACTTCACATGTCAATCTAATTGGGAAGAGAGGCTCGCTTAAGCTTTATTACATGGATAATTTGGGGTCAACAAAATATATTTGTTTGATCTACACTCATCTAGAGGTTGCCACTACGCACTCTAGTATAATTTGGACTTTTGGAGGTGTAATATGGGAGTTAGTTACTTGAGTTTTTCAAGGCTAAGAAGAACAAAGACTTAGGAAACGAAGTGATACTTCCATATAGCTAGTTAGCTACTTATTTAGTTATATTGACATCCCTATCTTGGGTACGGGAGCCAGAGGCTATGTGTATCTACCACGGTGATCATGATGATAAGCCATTAACACTTAATAGTGATTGGAGATTAAGACGATATTCAAGCATAAAGTTACAAATGGCTAAGACAATATACAAACATAAAGTTTCTCCATCATATTGCTATGTAGTATACAATTAGTTTCTTTGTCCCTTACAATTTTGTTGGATATGTTAATTCAATAATTGTTGTTGAAGTAAGTTTTTATCATGTGTTTTGTGGAAGATAGTACTATTATTGCTGGGCTTGGTAGTTTTGTTTTGTTTCCGAAGAGGACGTTAGTGGCCCAGTTATGTATATGTTGGTCGACCCTTATACAAAAAAGTACCAACTCATTGTTGTGAACTTAGACTACACGAGGCTCATAGAGCTGATGAAGGGAGAGGAACTGAGGAAGGGAGAGAGGGACAGTACAATCCAAGACAGTGGGAGAGAGGGATGAGAGAGACAGCACCAACGGCCCAAATAGAAAATTGGTCTTTGGACTTTTGTTTGTAGTTGCAGAACTGGGCTTCAGGCTTAAGACACCAATGACAAAATTTTATGTTGTTTGAAATCCGGGTTTGTCTGTTTTGTTAAGTGTAGGTCCACTTTAGTGGTTTAGCCCGATCCGACCGAGTATATTGTATTAGAGTATAGATTTTTGATCCGACCGAGTATGTTGTTTGAAATCCGGGTTTGTCTGTTTTGTTAAGTGTAGGTCCACTTCAGTAGGAGGTACTCCGTGGTTGATTGTGATTTTTGATTATCTATTGCTAAACGAAATACTCTGTATGAAGTAATTGTTAGGATGTTCCTGAAAGTTTAAGCTTTTTTTTTTAAAAAAAAAAAAAAACAAATTAGATGATGTTTTCCAGTACTATGTACGTCAATTAGTTTGTCAATTGTCATGATTGCTGAGACTGAATTTGTGTACCGGGGACTCCATTTGAATATGTATTTCACTATTTTGTATTAATGTATTTGCTGTAAGCCTCTCACTGACTCCTACACGTAAATCATGTGAAAGGACAATAAGTTCAAAATATAATTTCATCCTACAGTAGTTACTGTTTACACTAGTATTTTTGTACGGAGTACAAAAAAAAATTGTTCAAAATATCAAATGGAAGGATGTTGGCCACAGACCACAGTAATATAATGATTTGTCCTAGGTTAAATCTCATCACAATTTCATTCTGTTAAAACATAATCCTTTTATTTATTTATTTATTTATTTTCTATGAAATTGAAACATTATCCTTGCTCATGTGATAGATAAATTTCTTGACTAAACATTATCCTATGGTACTCCGTAGCAAATTTACAGCCATTTTTGTAAATTCTGGTGTTAAATACGTACTCCGTAATAAATAGTGAAATTCATTTCAATATTGAGGGAGTAACTTGTACTCGGTAATTGACAAAATTTTCAAATACTAGTAAGTGGAATAGGGAAATCATTTCTCTCCTGTCTTATGTGAAAAAAATTTCCCCACTTTACTTGATGGTCACAAACCTCAACCAAAGAATTTTCTGCAAAGGAAAAGGAAAGCAAGAAAATAGCAAACAAAGTTAAAAAAAAATATAGAGAGAAGAGTCAGCTCATTAAGCAAAAATAAAGCTTTAATTTAGTACACAGTGCTGACAATGCTACAGTTATGATAACAAAAGCCAAAGGAAGAGAGCAGAAGCAGTAGCATCAGCTGAGGAATTGCAGATGCATTGTGTCTGGTTACTACTCAACAAAATTACACCACTACTACCTATTGTTATTGTGGACCAAATTTATTACTTTCTCTCTCCTCAGTTATCTAAATCTCTATACAACAGACACTACCCTTTTGCCCACTGATATTCCCCTATTTGCTGTATTGTCTCCTTCCGTTTTGTCACTGTTAAACAGATATCAAATTTAAGTCGGTAAATTTTTATCCTATACTCGGGTGTAATTTCATGTGTTATCTTGCCTGTATGGTGGATTCTTAATTCGGGTGTAGAATGGACAACCTTTGAATAATCCAAGGAAGTCTCTCCACTTCCCATACCATAGGGGACCACTACGCCATTTGGGGTTTTGAAACCATATGATTAAATAATTACTTAATGTAATTCTTTTTGGTAAATCCCCATGGAAAGAAAAGTAAATTCTTCTTCCCACTTTTTTGACCATGGAAAATGGTGTTTTTGCACGGGAAATTCTCTCTCGTGTCCAGTTATTCCCATACATGCACTTTGTGTCACTTCTTTCGAATTATGGGTTGGGGGTAAGTTTTTGAGTAACTAATTAAATAGTAAATTGCATATAATATAGTTTTTGTGAAGTTGGGATTGACGTAGAATAACGTTTAAGAATGTTCAGAACATAATTAATAATATAGTGATATAAAAAATGTAGTTTATGTTCTGGGTTTATTTGTCTTCTTTCTACCAAACAAATCTATGCTATTCTTTCTTATTCTGGGTCTAGTGAGAAGAAGAAGCTGGTTAGATTTGAGAAGGAGAACTGTTCTTGTTTACTGAGCAATTCTAGTTAAAAATTTCTACTTTTCTGTCAGAAATCAGGTGAATAGTGTTATAATTTCAGTTACTATATTTTATATTTTCTCAAATAGGTTAGCAATTGATTTCCAGTTGAAGTTGTATTATTACTACCTCTGTTTGAATTTGGTTGTCGTGTTACTAATTCGGACTTAAATGTTTTGCACAAAGGGTTATTTTGCATGATTTAAAGGTTTGCATGTTGCCTGGTTTTTGTTTATCCATGTTAAAAAATTTCAACTCTACTCAGAAACTGTTCAATTTTCATGTTCTCCTGTTCTTTTGGCCTTATTTTTATGGTGTAAAGTCAGTATACTAATTGCCCTAGTTGCTTTTTCCCTTTGAAACTGAAGCCATATTAATTTTGGTAAAGGAAGTAATTTACTGTGCCATTTACTCAACTCTATCTTCTACCTGTAAAATTGTCTATTGCATTACTTCAAAACTAGTACTTAAAAAGTGTTAGAAGACACAATTTCTAAACTTGTACTTTCTTTTGGGAAACAAAATACTTATGTTACAGAGATGCCGAATCGACATATAAGAGACCCGGAGCAGAAGCATATGATCCCCAAGAAACCTGTGGAAAGCAGCTTAGTGATTTCGTTGCCATCTAACAAGTCTTCCCAATGTGCTAAAGAGAGATTGGAAGATGCTCCGAAAAATGCTAAGCGGAGGAGAGGAAGAAGAAAGACAAAAGGTGCCATTGTGGAAGATTTACCCGCTGACGGGAAACTTCAGTTGCATGCTGACCCTCCCACATCAAATAAGGGCATTGTATTCCAACGAAGGCCGGGTTTCGGTCAGTTGGGCACTAAGTGTGTTGTTAAGGCGAATTATTTTCTTGCTGAGTTAACGAGGTCGGATTTATGTCAATATAATGTAAGTTTCTAATATCCAGATTAGGGCTGTGCTTTTAAGATGGATAGTATTCCTAGTAATGAAGGAAAGTGATTAATATTCTCTGTCAATTTTCCAGGTTACTATAACTCCTGAAGTAAAATCAAGTAAATTGAATAAAGCTGTCATGGCTGAGCTTGTGAAACTTCACAGAGAAACTAACTTGGGTGCAAAGCTTCCTGTTTATGATGGTAAAAAGAATCTTTACACTGCCGGATTACTGCCTTTTACGACGAAAGAGTTCAAGGTTACATTGCTTGAAGAGAGTGAAGGGTTTGAATCAACAAGGTAGCTGATTCTTTATCTCCTGTTTTATTTGTCATGGTTGATTACTTGTGGAAGTGCTGCTAATTTGTTACTCTTTGATTTAGGAAAAATGAATTCGAGGTTAAAATCCAGTTTGTTGGTTTTGCTCGAATGCAAGAACTACATGAGCTTCTTGCAGGTAAACAGGTTAAAGCACCTCAAGAAGCTCTCACAGTAATTGATACTGTCTTGAGGGAAATGGCTGCAAAAAGGTGTGTGCTTTCTGAAGTTAAATTATTCTGATCTAACACAAATGCATTGCTACTTTGTAATGACTAATTTTTACTTTGCCCTATAAAATTGGGAAACATGAAGGTATTTACCATTTGGAAGATTATTCTATTCTCCTGATATTCAAAAGCCTCATCAACTTGGTGGTGGTTTACACTCTTGGCGTGGCTTCTATCAGAGTGTAAGAGCCACGCAGATGGGGTTGGCCCTGAATATTGGTGGGTGCATCTCTTATTTTGCATTGCTATTTAATTTTTTTCCACGAGTTATCTGCTTTATCTTTTCGGAGTCCATTGTCACACCACTATTTTGATTTTTCAGATATGTCAGCAAGCGCATTCATTGAAGCACTCCCAGTAGTTGAGTTTGTAGCTCAAATATTGGGGAAGGATGTACGTTCACGACCATTGTCTGATGCCGATTCTGTTAAGGTATAGCGTTGATGTCTTATGAACTGTTCCAAATTTGAGCAGGACCTCTATGGGCAGTGATTTAATGAGTTCCCTGCTAATATTTTCAGCATAAAGCATCTGTTTAATATAAGGAAAAACATGTGCTTATCAATCAGATTAACTTGTATGTATAATTATTGCAATAGGCCTTCTTCATCAGATAATGATATTAGATACAAAAATAAAAAGTTATGCTGTGTATTTCAAGGTACAGTATAACTATGCTGATCCCAGACATGTGTTTTAAGGCTACTGTATTATGATCCTGGAGTCAAAAAATATAACTGCAATGGATTAACAGTTGCTTGAGGATTCTAGTCAACAAATTGCAATGTAGATATGCATGAAAGGAGGCTCTAATTGGTTTAGGATATCAACATAACATATTAATTGAAATTGAAGTTATAATTTGGTTTATATGTGATGCTGACTCTCATGCATGCATATGTGCAGGTTAAGAAAGCACTTAGAGGCATCAAAGTGGAGGTGACTCACAGAGGAAATGTACGGAGGAAATATAGAGTATCAGGATTGTCAGCTCAGCCTACCAGAGAACTAATGTATAGCCATAGTTCTTGTATCTTCATTATTGTTTCCTTAGCACTTTGTTCCTAGTTGATTATATCTTTTTACCCTTTTCCTGGCAGCTTCCCTGTTGATGAGCAAATGAATATGAAGTCAGTGATTGAGTACTTCCAGGAGGTGTATGGATTTACCATTCAATATGCTCACCTCCCTTGCCTTCAAGTAGGAAATCAAAAGAAAGTAAATTATTTGCCGATGGAGGTACGTCATAGCTTTAGTTAAGAACATGTTGCTTTCAGCAGCTATGTGAGTGAGTTACTGATTCTATGTTTCTTTATGTTTCATAATAGGCATGCAAAATAGTTGGAGGACAGAGATATACAAGAAGATTGAATGAAAAACAGATAACATCTCTACTCAAAGTTACATGTAGACGACCAAGTGACCAGGAAACGGATATTTTGCAGGTCCTCAACATAGCTCCTTTTTGTTCTGATTCATATGGCATTAACTACTGAAAATCATTTGCTTATTTTTCGTTGTACAATTATCTCCCAAAAAAATACTCTATGATGATGATCATGCATACAGAGCTGAATGACATGTATAGATTACGTTGATTACATAGTGATTTTATTGCTTTTTACTGCAGACTGTTCACCAGAATGGCTACAACCAAGATCCCCATGCACAAGAGTTCGGCATAAAGATAGATGACAAACTTGCTACGGTTGAGGCTCGTGTTCTTCCTGCTCCATGGGTTTGTGTTCCATCTCATCCTTTTTTTTTATTTTTTATTTTTAATTTCTCTCTTCCATGTAGTTTGACAAATTTAAACTGAATACACGCATTGGAACCATTTTTGTTGTCAATAGCTGAAGTACCATGATACTGGAAAAGAGAAACAACACTTGCCTCAGCTTGGTCAGTGGAATATGCTAAACAAGGTAAGTGGTCTCTATTGTACGAAAATTTCATCTATATGGATTAAAAGTGTTTGTTAAGAGAAAGGCTGTTTGATTTGATGATATAGAAAGTGATTAATGGGAGCACTGTAAGTAATTGGGCTTGCATCAACTTCTCGAGAAGTGTACAAGAGACTGCTGCTCGTGGGTTTTGTCGTCAGTTGGTGCAGATGTGTCAAGTCTCTGGAATGGTAATGCTTCAATTATTAATCATAAATAGACTCCATGGCTCCATTCCAAAGTGGTTCTCATCTTTAAGTTCATATACTCCTGTTGACTGTCCTGATTAGTTTTAGAATCCATATTTAAAAAATTACCTTTCACTGTTCTGACTGTGCTAAGATTACCTAGCTGAAACATTAGTCAGTGCTCATGGCATGCATGGAATTCTATGACTACATTCAATTCAAGTGAAAGATTAAATAGTTTTTGTTGTTCTTTGATGGATTAAGTAGAAGCTTGATTTCTAGCCCTTGAGGACTTGAGGTTCCTTGAATAAGTTGTTTGAACTGATATCTTCACTTCTACTTTTAGGAGTTCAACCCTGAACCTGTGATCCCTATCCATTCTGCAAGGCCAGACCAGGTGAAGAAGGCCTTGAGATATGTATGTAATGCGGCTGCAAGCAAACTTGATGGAAAGGAGCTGGAGTTGGTTATTGCCATTCTACCAGACAATAATGGCTCTCTATATGGTACATAGCTGCTTTTGATCCTTATTAATTTCTCAGGCCTTCACCTCAATTTTCTGTTAGAAATACTAATTTTGTTCCTTTGTATATGAAATTTTTATTTCAATTTCACTATAGTCTATCCCATAGATTTAGTTCTGATGCAAAAAAATCTTGGACTGCAAAATGGTAGGACTCATGAAACATATCACTGACTAAAATTTTGTTTTTATTCTAGGTGATTTGAAGAGAATTTGTGAGACGGATTTGGGATTGATTTCGCAATGCTGCCTAACCAAATATGTCTTGAAAGTTTCCCGGCAATACCTAGCGAATCTGTCCTTGAAAATTAATGTAAAGGTATGCATGATGTTGTATCTTATACTGCTTGAAAGCAAAGCTTTGTGTACCAAATCTTATATGAAGATACTGTGCAGTTGGGAGGAAGAAATACAGTCCTTTTGGACGCTTTGAGTTTGAGAATTCCAATGGTTAGTGACATCCCAACAATAATTTTTGGAGCTGATGTAACTCATCCAGAAAGTGGGGAAGATACTAGCCCATCCATCGCTGCTGTAAGAAATTCATTTCCTTAATATGTAGGAAAGGTTATGTATTCATATGTTAGATCTATCTAATTGTTTTTTCACAGGTTGTAGCATCTCAAGATTGGCCAGAAGTAACAAAATATGCTGGGATGGTATCTGCTCAGGCACACAGACAGGAAATTATACAAGATCTGTTCAAAACCTGGCAAGACCCGCAACAAGGAACTGTCAATGGAGGCATGATCAGGTTTGCTTTGTGAAATTTCTAAACCAAAATTAGTGATAACTCAGCTTAAGATTGTTGGTTTACATCCAGCCAATTTGTGAAGTGCAAACTACATCGAAGAGTAGAGATTCTGTAAATTATGCCTGGCAATAATTATCCACTCTTAGCACATTAAGTTGTTTATCGGATTCTAGGCACAGTGACATGGCCATGAACACTGGATACATCATTTTGAACAGAAATATGCAAAAAATTTGTGTAATGGACCAGTCTTACTCTAGGGTTTGTAACAGTGTCTGGTTACTCTGGTACTAGTAGCTGACTCTTGTTCACATAGGGCGTATGAAATGCAACAGTTTTTTTTTTTTTTTTTATGGTTCTTTTTTCTTCAGCTAACATGTTATGTTAGTGATGAGCATGAGATTTTCAATAATGTAAATATCAAAACTCAGTGTTTATCTTATTATTCTAGAGGGGGGATGAAGGCGTGTTTGCTGTGTCGTTGCATAGCATATGGTAGTCAATATGATATCCAGTGCTACATGCTCTTGTTAATTTTTAAATGGTGTATCCGTGTATGTACTAATTCCATGCTGCTGCAGAGAACTTTTGCTATCCTTCAAGAGGGCCACTGGACAAAAGCCGCTGAGGATAATATTTTACAGGTAAATAACCTTTTTTCAATCTTTTTAACAGCACTAGAAATGATGACAGAAAATCTCAGAATTTTTTTTATTTTTATTTTTTTTATCTTTTGCAAAAAGATGCCTTAAATAATAAAAATGGTTGATATCTTCTTGAAAACTATTTTAAATGTCTACCAATTCATCTAATCTGAATTATTACATGAGCAGGGATGGTGTCAGTGATGGACAGTTCTATCATGTTCTATTGTATGAACTTGATGCCATAAGAAAGGTATGCCCGAAACTTGATTATTACTTTATAAGCATCATAAATAATGCTTTTCCAGTGCATAACTCAAAAGTTTTTTGTAGGCATGTGCATCACTGGAACCTGGCTATCAACCTCCAGTGACTTTTGTTGTGGTTCAAAAGCGTAATCATACAAGATTATTTCCAAACAATCACAATGACAAGAGAAGCACCGACAAGAGTGGGAACATCTTGCCCGGTAAAATCCAGTTCTTTTTAAACCGAACTAGTCTGTTTGGCTCAATGACAAATGATGTTTAGTAACAATAAAATCATGACATTTCAGGTACTGTGGTAGATACTAAAATATGTCATCCAACCGATTTCGACTTCTTTCTCTGCAGTCATGCTGGGATTCAGGTGAGATTTTAGGCTAGATTAAGATTAAAGTCCCAGTTTTATGTATTGTCTTTTAAAATAACAATGGAACCACTCCTGATGATTTTTCAGGGCACCAGCAGACCTGCTCACTACCATGTGCTCTGGGATGATAACAATTTCACAGCCGATGAGATACAATCTTTAACAAACAACCTCTGTTACACGTAAGAAGACACCCCCCCCCCCCTCTTATATTCTTATAAATGAAACTTCTCTTATGCATTCTTATAAAAATTGGTATTGGTTTTTATTGCTGCAGGTATGCTCGCTGCACACGATCTGTCTCAGTTGGTAAGATGATCGTTCATCTTATTTATGTTGTTTTATGTTACATAATACGATTATAAGATGCAAAATTTTATCGTCCAAAATGTTGTTGTAGCATGGAATTTTGTGTGATGTTAACTGATGGTCTCTTTCTTTCGTACAGTCCCTCCAGCATATTATGCCCATCTAGCAGCTTACAGAGCTCGATTCTACATGGAATCTGATAGTAGTGATAGTTCAGGGGGATCACATAATTCGCGCGCAAACAAAGGCCAAAGCTTCCGCCCATTGCCAGAATTGAAGGATAAGGTCAAGAATGTAATGTTTTACTGCTAAGCGTAGATTGACAGTAGATTAATCAGATGTGTATAGTTCTCATGTAATTATAGTTGTAGTGACTAGTGAATAGTGCATAACAAATTTTGATAGTTATGAGAAGCTTTTGCTAGTCCTTCAATTATGAATGTCTAAGTCATATATCCTAGCTTCCACCCCGAGCAAAACATTATATTGAACTCATCGGGATACAGTTGCAAATCTCCTGAACAGACTGTTGAATGAAACCACACGAAAAGTAATGCGAGGCAGTACAGATAAGGCCTTCGATTAGAAGGTATAGATGAATGCAGCATAGCAAAACAAACTTATGTGAAACAAATACGTAGTATTACATGTGGTGAGCACACACATCTTCAAAGAATGAATAGTGAATATAGCATGAGAGAACAAGATAAGATAAATATCTCCATCTATATATCAAATTTCGAGCCTTTGCTACCATCTTTTAGCATATACTTTCATATAGGTCTAAGGGCCTGTTCTCATTGACTGAACTCAGTTGAACTGAACTGAACTAATGAGGCCAACTACAGCTCCAAGGGCACTTCAGTCATAGCATCTAATATTGTGTTATTTTCCATGTTGATTGTATTGTTGCTAGCCAATGATTAGCTGTAGAATATGGCTGTTATTTTTGTCCTGTAGTATGTATATTTGCTGATGTACTCAGTCCTGGGAGATTAATGAGCAATGACCTAATATTCTCCTGCCTCTCTCTGCCTCTTTTCTCTCTATTCTCTCTGCATATCTGAGCAAATCCTGTTGCATCAATTTCTTTCATATTACTCTTCATGGTATCAGAGCCATTGATGCAACATCAGGAATAATCAGCTCAGCTTTTGGTCTGCTCATTTGTTAAACACTTTCTTTTCTTCTGCTCCTTGTTCTCTCAGTCTTTCTTCTCTAAAAATTGAATCTGTTTAACCTCAACAATGGCCGCTGATACATCCAGTCCATTGTATTTACATCCCAATGATGGATCTTACTCCATCACTGTAGACAAGCTTACAAGAGCAGCTGACTACAGATCTTGGAGAAGATCAATGGAAATAACCCTTTCTTCCAAAAAGAAATTGGGATTTGTGACAGGCACCATTCTCAGATCCTCTTATGGAGCAAACACAGCTCAGAAAGAACAATGGGATACCTGTAATGCAATGGTAATTTCTTGGATCCATGCTAGTTTTTCAAACACCATAAAAAAAATCTGTTCTTTACATTAATACTGCTAGAGAAACTTGGGTGCATCTTGAAAAACGATTTAGTATGTCTAATGGATCTAGGAAGTATAGATTAAACAAAGACATATATAACATGAAACAGAATAATGAATCTGTAAATGTTTATTATACTAGTATGACAAGTCTATGGGAGGAACTTGATGCTATGAACATATTGCCAACTATTACTGACCCTAACCAAGAAGTGAGAAATTTGCTGAATGTAATTGCTAAACTGCAAGAAGGAGATTATTTCAGTTTCTCAATGGTTTAGATGACTGTTTTGCTCCTATGAGAAGTCATATCTTGATGTTAACTCCCCTCCCTACTGTTGAGACTGCATGCTCAATGCTCCAGCAAGAAGAGAGTCAAAGAGAGGTGCTGGGCAAGTCAGATACAGATATCTCAGCCATGTATGGCAGAAATTCTGGATTTTCTAACACTCCAGGAAGCTCTGCTGCTGTAAGAATTGTTGTCTGCAGTGCTTGTGGGAGGAGAGTTCATGGACCAGACAAATGCTGGACAATTGTGGGTTATCCTGCATGGCACCACAAGCACAAGTCCATCAATAACAAGCAAAATGTCAGAGCTTTTGACCACATGACATCCAACATTACAAACATGGTGGATGTGCAGCCAGTTTCATTCTAATCTCAAGATCAACCTGCCAAATGGTGATAAGTCTATCATTTCACATATTGGTAGTGTGGAGCTCCCTAATAGCTTAATGCTGAAAAATGTGTTGTGTGCTCCGAATTTCAAACACAACCTTCTATCTGTCAATAAACTGATAAAAGATCACACTATGAAGTGAATTTCTTTGCCACTCATTGTGTGATAAAAGACTTGAAGACTAAGAAAATCAAAGGGGTGGGGAAGATGAAAAATGGACTATACTACCTTGTGAATGATTTTTTTGCTCAAGAGTGTGACATGATCAAGATAGTGAAGGATGACAGTAACCCTAAAGCCTTTGCAGTGCCTTCCAAAGATGAAAATCTGTCTTTTGCTGTATGGCATCACAGGCTAGGGCATGCCTCACTCAAGAAATTGCAGCATATTGAATGTGTGAGGAAGACAATCAGTGATAAGAGTCAAGTGTGTGTTACCTGTCCTCTTGCCAAATTCACCAAGCTGCCATATCAGTTAAGTGAATCTCATGCCAAGGAGCCTTTTGAACTTGTCCATATGGACATTTGGGGCCCTTATAAGGTGAAAACAAGAGGAAAATACAGATATTTTCTGACTTTGGTTGATGACTTCTCAAGAATGACATGGATCTATCTCTTACAACACAAATCAGAGTCTTTAATGCAGTTCAAGGCTTTCAGCAATTATGCCAACACTCATTTTGACAAAAAAAATCAAATTTCTCAGGTCTGACAATGCCTTGGAATTTGATGATGGTCCAAGTCAGAAATTCTTTGCAGCTATGGGAATAGTGCATCAAACATCCTGTGTTGACAGGCCACAACAAAATGCAAGAGTTGAGAGGAAACATAGACACGTCCTTGAGATTGCAAGAGCTATAAGGTTTCAAGCAGGATTGGAACTTTCTTATTGGGGTGAGTGTGCAATGACAGCTGTCCATTTGATAAACAGACTGCCTAGTGAAGTGTTGAAGAACAAGACACCATTTGAAATGCTCTTTGGAAAAGCTCCATCTTATGAGCATTTAAGGGTGTTTGGGTGCCTTGCATTTGCATATACTCACTCAATCCAAAAAGATAAATTTCAACCTAGAGGATTGCCATGTGTATTCTTAGGTTACCCAGCCAACCAAAAGGGTTACAGATTAATTGATTTGTCAACCAAAAAAATCTTCACCTCCAGAGATGTTCTCTTCCATGAAACAATTTTTCCTTTCCAGCTTAAATCTCTTGACCTTCTCATGAAACCTTTGCCCACACCATTTCCTCACTCCCAATCTCAAACTCTGCATTTTGATGATGAACTTAATGCACCTATTATAGATCAGCAGCAAGAGCACAGCATTGATCCAATTACACATGAAACAGAATCCCAAACCCAAACACATGACCCAAACACCTCACATGAACCAAACACCTCACCTCATCTTGCACCCAAACAAAGTTCAAGACCCACCACACAACCTTATTGGATGAAAGATTACATCCAACCCAAAAAGAAAACTGATAAACATACTGCAAATGTTACAGTTCAAGAAATTCAACCTGAATTTCATTGTTTTCTCACTTCTCTTGCTGATACAGTTGATGCCATGAATCTTGAGCTCACTCAATGTGAGAAAAATGGCACCTGGGAAGTTACATCTCTTCCTGCTGGTAAGAAAATTATTAGCAGCAAGTGGGTCTATAAAACAAAGTTCAAATCAGATGGCACAATAGAGAGACATAAAGCAAGAATTGTGGTGTTAGGATGCAGCCAACAGTATGGAATAGACTACAAAGAGACCTTTGCACCTGTTGCAAAGATGACCACAGTGAGATCTATTTTGGCTTTGGCTGCAATGTTTAACTGGCACACCACTCAAATGGATGTCACCAATGCATTTTTGCATGGTGATCTATTTGAGGATGTTTACATGGCATTACCACCTGGTTACACTCATTTTGGCAGCAGAATTGCTGTTACCTCATCCTGTCCTGTTCCCAGCAAGAACACTACTCTGGTGTGCAAGCTTCAGAAATCACTGTATGGGCTAAAACAAGCACCCAGACAATGGTTTTCTAAGCTGTCTGAAACCATCATTTCCTTTGGTTTCAAACAATCCAAAGCAGACTACAACCTGTTCATAAAATCCAGCAACAACAGTTTCACAGCAGTGTTGGTTTATGTAGATGATTTACTGATAACTGGAAATAATCAGCAGGAGATTGATCTCATTAAACACTTGCTCTCTTCCAAGTTTCATATGAAGAATTTGGGATCCTTAAGGTATTTTCTTGGCCTGGAGATCGATAGATCAGCTAATGGTATTTTTGTCTCTCAAAAGAAATATACTGCTGATTTGTTAAAGGAATACAGTATGCTTAATGTCAAGCCTTTAAAGCTTCCCATGGATACCCATTTGAAGCTGTATGCTGAAAAGTGTGATACACTACCAGACCCTACTCCATTTCAGCAATTGGTTGGGAAACTGGTCTATCTTACAGTGACTAGACCTGATATTTCATTCACTGTACAACTTCTAAGTCAGTTTATGCATAATCCCACAACTGTGCATATGCAAGCTGCAAAACGGCTACTTCGTTACTTGGCTGGAACAGCTTCACAAGGGATTTTACTTGCTTCAGCTTCATCTGCAACTCTCACTGCTTACTGTGACAGTGACTGGGCTAGCTGTACTGTCTCAAGAAGATCCACTACAGGATACTGTATTTTACTTGGTGATTCACCAATTTCCTGGAAGTCCAAAAAACAACCTGTAGTGGCACGTTCATCATCTGAAGCTGAATACAGAGCAATGGCTCTGACAACTTGTGAAGTAACATGGATCAAGGCTTTACTCAAGGACTTGAACTTAACAAATCTACATTCTACTGTGCTGAAATGTGACAATAAAGCAGCTCTGGCAATAGCAGCAAACCCTGTAATGCATGAGAGGACCAAACATGTCGAGATTGACTGTCACTATGTCAGGGATATGATAAAAAAGGGTGAGATAGAAACACAGCACGTTTCAACTTCAAACCAAGTGGCTGATGTTTTCACCAAAATTCTATCTGTCAAGAAACACAATGATATGCTTCTCAAGTTGGGAGTCTATTCTCTACCTGCCTCTCAGCTTGAAGGGGGGCAATGAGGCCAACTGCAGCTCCAAGGGCACTTCAGTCATAGCAGCTAATATTGTATTATTTTCCATGTTGATTGTATTGTTGTTAGCCAATGATTAGTTGTAGAATATGGCTGTTATTTTTATCCTGTAGTATGTATATTTGTTGTTGTATTCAGTCCCGGGAGATTAATGAGCAATGACCTAATATTCTCCTGCCTCTTTCTGCCTCTTTTCTCTCTATTCTCTCTGCATATCTGAGCAAATCCTCTTGCATCAATTTCTTTCATATTACTCTTCATGAACTGAATTGAGCTGAGCTGAACTGAACTGAATTGAACTGAACTGAAATGAATATTTTATAAGAGAAGGAAATTAGGAGCGGAGCTGAACTAACTGAACTGAACTGAGCTGAGCTGAGCTGAACTGAACTGAACTGAGCTGAACTTAGCTGAACTGAATTTCAACGCGAGAGAACAGACCCTAATTGTCTAAAATCATAATTTATTATAGATTACGTATGACTATGACTAGATATTAATGTCACCCAAATTAATCGATAATATCAGTAGAATCAAGTGAAAACTAAACCCTACAAGATTATAGCACATCAATTTTAGGTAAATTAAGTTTTATACTTTCAGGCTCTGTTATCTTAAGCTTAATTTCAGTTTAATTTAGCTGTAATCAGTTTAGTTCTTTATTTCTTTCTCTCATAAATAATTCAATTTAGTTCAGTTCAGCTCTAATCAGTTTTGTTAAGCTCAGTAAATTATAAAAGGCCCTTAATATACTACTCCATTAGTATAATAGAAGATGCATTATTAATTTAAACCTAAAATAGAAGCCATTTCACACTAATATGGTGTTTGTAATCATGCTTATTATCTCTTGCACCTTGATCTTAAAATCCCAAATCATTAACATAATACTAATACAATTTATTTTACACATACAATTCACACTTACATCTCCTTAAATTCTAACACAATAACACTAATACAAAAATCATTTGCAAATAATAAATGTAATGTACTTATTTTTTTAGTACAAAAAGGGAATTATAGCTTTCCTATTCTTTGGATATTCATCCTTAAACTTCTCCAAATACCAATTATGATTAGCCATTGCCCTAGGCACCAAATTACAAGAAGTATACAAGAAAAACCCAAACCCGGCCCATGACCAACTCATAATAGCCCAGCCCAACCACTCAATAATCTCACCCAAATAATTTGGGCTACTCACCAACTCAAAAAGCCCACTTCTTGGAATCTTATACCCACCACCTTGGGCCTTCAAGCCCACCAAAACCAAATCCGACTTCACATTTACCACCATACCAAACCCAAAAACCACCATTCCACCGGAAAACCGCCCCCGAAACCACTCATCCAAACCATAATCACAGTAATTCGAGATCCACCTAGTCTGAACATACGAATTCAGCAGATTAAACGAGAAAGCCATCAAAGAAACCGAGATCGGAAAATCGCTGGTGGTTTTCCGGCGAAGACGAAGAGGGTAAACAACGGTGCGGTGGAAGTAGTGGAGGAGAAAGACGGCGAGGAGAGAGAAAGATCGGAGGGAAGAAGAGAATTGGCCAAAAGGGTAGATTAGGAGAGAGAAAAAAATGGTGGGACTTTCCATGAGAAGCCATGAGAGCCACGAAGGGATGGTGGGGCCCCACCCTGAGCGGCGGTGACGGCCGTAAGGGGCTTGGATGAAGTGTAATGCGAGGAATGTTGGGAGGGAAATGAGGTATAGGGTTAGGAGGCAGAGGTGGTAGATGGTGGCATCTACGGAAGAGGCCGAGAGCGGCGACATATTGGTACGGTGTAGGACCCTACTGAATCGGCACCTCGGAAAATCGAAAATTAAATTTGATGGACAAATTATGATTTGAAAGCAGAGGGGAGTAACGAGGGTTTGGGGTGGTTGGATGGGGAAAAATGAAGTGGAAGGATTGAGTGGAAGTGGGATTAGTTGGTTGGATGGGAAATTTTAGGATCTTTACTGGTTCTTGTACTAAGGAGTACTAATTATGTGACCCATTAGTCATTAGTTCATTACTAATTTAGTCATTCTCATTAAATTGGAGTTGATAGTGTCGCGTTATGTTTGTATTGTGATTTTGTATTCGTGTTCGAAATTAAATAGATCTTGTCATAAAAAAATAAAAAATTGTTAAAATTGATCTGTGAATGTTAACACTAATCTCATTTTTAATTGAACGTGTTGTATTAAATCTGTTAATCTATTTAATTAAAATGCGTCGAAAAGTTATTCAAAAAAAAAAAAAAATTGTGTCGAAAAGTCTTGATACTAACCTATTTAGTTCATGACTTCATAATATGTTGTTTGTCTTACTCTGATCTGTAGTTTTTAACAGCTATATTTAAATAAATAAAATTAATCAAAATAGGAAAAAGATTGTCCAATTTTAATTACACGAAGTATTTGATACTCACTCCGTTGGTTAGTCTTGACTCACTTGTCAATGTATGAGTTTTATCATTAATTTATATAATTGAAAATTAATTAGTTACTCAATTAACGGAGAAAAATTCCTTTTTTAATTTTTTTTTGAGGAAAATTCAATTACATACTTATATATGTAGTCGTTTCATTCTTATATACAACAATAGTTTTTTCATTATATATAAATATCTTACATAAATTAATAGAAAAATAAAGAAATCAAAGCTAATACTTAAATAATGAAAAAGTCAAATTACGCCAATAATTCTATAATGAATAAAAAATTCCATTTATAATTGCGATTAATCATCTTATATTCAGATTAAAATTGTCTAGACATATAGTGTCATTTTTTTTATTAAAAATTGATTCATAAATAAAAAGTTGTACAACATATACAAAGAGATTTATAAGTTATAACTAATAAATGTGGAGTACGTGACAATTGAATTATATTAGACATCTCTTCAGCAAAACTACGATCGTTATTGTAAATCATACATTTTTCATACCCTATTTTATATCGCTACTATATTTAGATAGTGGATTAGTGATCGTATCATGTAGTATTTTACTCAATTCCTTAAAACCCTGTATAGCACCTTGTTTATATGAATTATATCCAATGGTAGAGACGTTTTCGAGAGTGAGGGATAGCTCAAGTGGTTAGAGCTCCCCTCCCGATTCCAAGAGATCTTGAGATCAATTCTCATCACCTGCCTTTGTGGCTCTCTAAGCACCGAAAAAAAAAGAGAGACGTTTTCGAAATAAAAAACATAATTTCCATTAATTTCGGTAATTAGTGGAAAAAATTGGCAACTTTGCCTATGTGCCTTGGATTGCAAACTGGCTCTCGTAATGGTTTGCAAATTTTGACCATAAAAAATACTTTTGTTTGGGGGGTTGGGGAGGATGAGTAGTGTGTGAATAGGGACCTCAAGTCACTTACTTTTACAAGAGTTTTGACAAAATAGGATTGTCTATTATTTTATGTTTATAGATAATAGATAACTTTATTTTATGTTTATAGATAATAGATAACTTGATAAGCCATAATATAAAGTAGGAGTGATTTCCATATAAATTGTTCAAAGATTCAAAAATTCCCAAATTACATTTCTTTACAAAAAATTCCCCACATACCGTCCAACGTAGGGATGGCAGTGAGTCGGGTTAAATGAGAGACCCGCCCTATCCCCGTCCAAGTGGGGCGGGTATGGAGGGAGGTTTGGCGGGTGATGGGGCGGGGATGGGTAGAAAATGTGTACCCGCCATGGGTGATGGGGCGGGTATGGATTTTAGAGTAGACCCGCCCCATATTCGCCCCGCCCCGTACCCACCTCATACCCGCACAATATTTCTTTTAGAAGAGTTGAAAATTTATGAAATTTGATACCTCCTAAGACCCAATAAACTTGAATAATGAAAGTCCCAATTTTTTTAACCTAATTTGATATAATCGTCATTAATATGATACAAAATCTACGGCATAAGATAGGAAATAATATTCCTAAAAGATATACCATATATCCTAATGAAATATTCTCTAAATAATATCTTAACATAAGATAATACTAAATATGTTATTCTCTTAAATGATATCTACAGAAAATATATCACACATATATTTTCCGATATTTCATATGTCTAACACCCTTCCGCAATCGTAACGGCAGTAACACGAACGTTGCGATTGGAAATTTTTCAATTTGTTGAAGTCAGAGATGCACACTCTTGTGATGTCTCCTTCAATTTTTTTTTTCTTTTTCAATGATGAGAACGTTCATCTTTTCGAACTCATCAGTCATCAATCAAACAGGAACGCCATTCTTTTTGAACCTGTAAATATAACAATTTTTGATTTTTCTAGAGCAAAACCGAGCTCCAATCAAATATTGGTTTTTCAGAGTAAACCACACTCAAATCTTTTATTGGTCTTTCAGAGTAAACCACACTCAAATCTTTTATTAGTCTTTCAGAGTAAACCACACTCAAATCTCTTGGTCTTTCAGAGTAAACTACACTCAAATCTTTTATTGGTTTTTCAGAGTAAACCACACTCATATCCAAAGGAGCAAAATCATGCTCGAATCAACTCACAAACCTTGTCTCACAGCACAAGGAGAACCAAATATATCTTGTCTCACGACACAAGAGAACCGTTATTTTTCTTTTAAATATTGCATCAAGCATAACGCTGTTTAATTTCTTCATCTCCAAAGACGTGTTATAGTGGAGGAAGTCCACTCACATACTCCCAAAAAAAAAAAATTCTCTCGAAAAAAAATTCACATACACATATATGATACATGTACCAACCCAAAAAAATAAAAATTTAAAGAGTATTAATATTGCATAGCGGAAGCAAAATTTTGAATCCCACCGGTAGGGGGGGAAATTTTTGTGAGCGGTCTCAAGATTTAACCTGCTCTTGATACCATGACAAATTAGAGAGAAAGAGAGAATATAATGGGTTGTTTATTATTCATCCATAGGTAGAGTATTTATACAAAATCTACGAACATAAGATAGGAAACAATATTCCTAAAAGATATACCATATATCCTAATGATATATTCTCTAAATAATATCTTAACATAAGATAATACTAAATATATTATTCTCTTAAATGATATCTACGGAAAATATATCACACATATATTTTCCTATATTTCATATGTCTAACATAGAGCATCATGGCAAAGGGTTTGGGACGATTTTAGGGCAGGTATGAGGTGAGTATGAATATCCAAGTGGGTGATGGGGCGGGGATGGATCCTATCTTGCACCCGGTGGGACGGGTATGGATGTGGATATTGTACCCGCCACGGGTGGTGGGGCGGGGATGGGTATAAGATTTTTAGGCGAGTATGGATATGGAGGTACCATAATCCGCATCCGATCCGACCCGCCCCATTGCCATCCCTAGTCTAACTCAGTATTTAAATTAATAATTTTTTTTTTTACAATTCACTAGTAAACCGCTAATTGAATTAGCGGTTTAGTTGCTAGGTGAAATAATCTTCACAATTGTATGCACAATTTTTTATAAAACCGCTTAGCGGTTTTATCCTTTATGAAACCGTTAATTCAATTAGCGATTTTGTGTTGATTGGATTTTTTTTTTAAAATAAAAACACAACCAACTTGCTTATGTGGACGGTATGGAGGGAATATTTTATAAAAAAGGTGTAATTTGAGAATTTTAGCTTTTTAAAACATTATCTATGGAAAACACTCTATAAAGTAGTGTATTTAGAATTTAATCAAATGTTTTTCAAAATATTAACCATCTAATAATGTATAGTTTTATAATATCATCTGTTACATAACATATGTAATATATGCATATGTGCATACAATTACTTAAATACAACTTGTGAAGTGATATAATTGGCCCGCCGGGCAATTAACCACATGTCGTACTATCTACTCATATAAGTGATACGGAGTATAACACTTGATCAATCAGTAAGTCCGTATCCTTTTAGAGAACGAAGTTGAGTTAGGAGCTATCATCATCTATATATACAGTTGTTTTAGCTAAAAGAATTCATTGACAACTTTTGATGTTAAATAAATCATAATCATGTCTTGTATTGTGTAAAATAAAGTTTTACATAATATAATTTCTTTTCAAAAAAACATACTTCCTCCGTTTTAATTTACTTGATCTCTAGTCCTATAACACGCAATTTAAGGAGTTAATTAAAGAAGACAAACGATATTTTTTATACAATAAAATAAAACCACCAATAAGAGGGATGAATGAGGTTTAATCTCTTCCTTAAATTACGTGTCAAAAGGCTATAGATCAAGTAAATAGAAACGGAGAAAGTATATTGTACTTTGTACCTAGCAAAAGTAGTAGATTATAAGTAGTGGCTATTTGTTTATTCATACATCAATATAATATTCTTAAAACGATTTTCTATATCCTAATGAAAAACAAAAAGAAATAAATCTAGAATTTAATTTTATTTCTTTGATTAAAAAACGAAAATGCACCAAACAATTACAAACATATATAATTTAATGATGGTTTTAATAATTATATAAAGTCATACTATGATGACGAAGATGAAGAAGTTGATCCATCATTAGTCAAACTAATGCCATCCTTATCAGTCCTCACTTGCCAAGCAGAAGCCGCAATTAACGGGCGATTATGCCACCCTAGAGTCAAGCACCCGTCACTCTCTTGTACACTATACCCTTCGCCCGAGCACAAACTTAGTAACATGTTCGCTTGTTTAAAGGCGTTACGTCCCATATGTAACGCCTTAAACCCGGCTTGGATCAATCGACCTTGCCACTTTATTAGTGGCTCGTGTCTTTCGATCCTAGCCGACCCTTCACAACATATTATGTTACATATTTCCCTTTGCATGTACGTCTCGGCTAACGGCTTAGCGGCTTCGAGTTGACAAGCCTCTAACGAGTCAAACATTGCGGAATAATAATGTAACGTTTCCGTGAAACGTACTAGGAAGTCTGGTACGTTATGGTTTGCATCTTGTTCTACCACGGTAACAATTTTCGGGTTTAGACTTTTAATTGACTCGAGAAATTGGTTAATGTTTGTGATAAGTAGTCGATGGAGTTGTAATATGAAATTAACGGCTATAGCTTCTTCGGGACTTGTTTGGAACATCCACGGCTTGATGTCCTCAAGCTGCGATGTTGTAACAACTCGAAATGAGAACTTAACATTAACTGACCGAGCTAGTTGGGCTAGCCTCATCCCGGTTTCATGAAAGAAGTCATGACCATTTGATGTAGATGGGCTAATCGCGGTTAGCCTTAAGGATGGTGGACCGCCGGGCCTTAGAGCCAAGGCTTGGATTAGAGCCGGCCATTGCAAGCCGTGCATTAAATTAAAGTCGATGACGTGTACATGGGCTTGGCCTTCAAAGGCCTCTAATATGGCTTGGTTAGCCGTAAAGTGAGCAAATTTAAGGTAAGGACAAGCCTCATAGAAGTGATGATAGAGTACCTCATTAGACACCGAGCCCGGCCCGGTTAGGCCCGGGTGGCATAGGCGCCGGCTCAAAGCATCAATGAAGTAGCCGGCTACCTTGCCAATCCCACAAGCCGTATTGACACGTGTCATCATCCCATTGGTCATCTCACCAATAAGCGAATTCGCCAATTGGAATTCGCCACGTTGTAGTGCATCGGCACAAGTTAACAAAACATGGACTAACCTTATTCCAACATCCTCCTCCATGTCACACACTAGCTGACTCTCCCCACTTAGCTGCTGCTCATCAATCTGGTCCGTCCACGTGTCACCAATCACCTTCATCAACTCATTCGGCACTGGATCAATATAACTAAGGCCCGGGCCAGACCCGGGCCCTAGAGTAGTAGGCAATGACACATGTTCAGGGACGAACGTGTTGACCCATGATGTAACCCGATCATAGCCGATCAACTCGTCCATATCGGATACCGGATGTGATACACCATAGAGGTCATAGGACCTCATGACATTACTATTATTAGAAATAATGGGATTAGTTGAATGGAAGATATATAGTGTACAACCACTTATATACTATTTATAGTAAGTATTAAAAGTGGGCGGGCCGGGCTTAGTGAGAAGCTAAGAAAGAAAGAGAGAAAATAGAAATGTAGGTTATTAGGAAAGAAGGAGAATATGAAAATGAGAAATTTGGGGAGATATTATTTTGCACATAATATAGGCACATATATAAACCTCTACGTGAAATGTATGTGTAGTGTACTAGTGTTACCACGTGAACTATGCACTAGTTAACGAGTCAAAAAAAAGCTAGTTGAGTTTATAAAATGCTTAATTATTATTGTTTGGTTTGCAACTATTGTTTAATTATAATACTCAATAATTACTTACATAATTTTAGGTAATTTTTATTACTTTTATTATAAGTTTGTACGTATACACGTTTATTTTGGAAAAATTTAACATCACTAGGACAGCTTACGCGTACAATGCGTTCGTCATAACTAGCCAGTTCAAGAAGTCTTTTCGATTTGACCTTATGTTACAATTTAGTTTGTTGTTAGTAGCGCTAATGAGGTAAAATAATAAATAATTTAGGGGTATAAATGTCCACACACTATTTTTAAGAGTTAAAAAAAACAGTTAGCATGAATGAGAGCAATTATGTAAATTTTAAGAGCATAATCGTTTCAACATTATTCATAAAACTGTAGTCATACATTTAAAAGTTGTACTCCCTCCGTCCCTAAATTACATTCCTCTTTCTAGCATTTATTCCTCACATAATAGAGAGAAAGAGGAATGTAATTTAGGGACGGAGGGAGTAAAAGGGTGTAAAATTACGCTTAATTTTAGTTTTAGGACGAAAGTAGGAAGTGATAAAAGTTTTATTTATGCAATGACTAAAAGTGATTTTGATATTCAAATGTCGTGAATGTCGTGATTACTGATTAGATAGAGAAGTTATAAAGCTTTGTCTACTGAATTAACCAATCAATTTTTGGTCCAATTAATTATCATTATTACAGTATTATTATGTTTATTATTCATAGTTAGTTGTTAGAGAGTCCAATTCATCATTAATTAAGACGATTAAGTCCACCATAACTTATTTGGTTGAAAATAGGAGTACTCCGTACTATATTGCCATATTGGTGAAAAAAATAGTGAAAGATAACAATGTCACATTTTGAATATTTGATTTAGACCCTGTTCTTTTCACCTTAAAAAAATAATATTAATTAAAAATAATTTCAGTTCAGTAAAATTAATTTCAGTTCAGTAAAGATAATTTCGGTTCAGTAAAAATAAGTTCAGTTCAGCAAAATTCAGTTTTCATAAAGAAGAATTATAATAAAGAATCAGTAAAAATAATTTAAGTTCAATAAAAATAGTTTCAGTTCAGTAAAATTAAGTTCAGTTCAGTAAAAATAAGTTCATTTCAGTACAAATAATTTTAGTTCAGCAAAATTAAGGTGAATCAAACAGGGCCTTACAGAGTATTTTTCATTGAGAACAATGTTTCTTAAACTTCTTTTCACTTTCATAGGAGTAGTAAATTAGTTGAATTAGGAAACAAAGGCTAATCATATTAATCTCATTGATGTTGTTTTTTATTTTTTTTAATTTTTTTTAAATGATCATTGTTAAGTTTATCATGAACGATAATCCATAGTTAGTTGATTTAACGAGTTTTATTTTTATTTTTATTTTTTGACGAATGAGTATTTAGTACGGAGTAATTACTAATCTAACGACTAAGAACAACTCCAATGGTAAGCTAATTCTGAAATTAGCTTGCCATGCCACCTAGGATTGCAAAGCTAATCTACCTTGTAGCTAATTAATCCCACAATGGTTAAGCTAATTTTCAATAATTTTTTTTTAATTCCCACAATTTGCTAACCTAATTAGCTTAGCTAAGCGAATAGCTTTGCCCAGCTAATTTGGTAATGCAATTCCAATGGTTAAGCTAATTATTTATTAGTTTCATAAATTGCAACCTACTCCTAATTTTACACTGCTGGAGTTGCTCTAATAGTTTTATTGCCTACACATAATGAAGATTAAAATTTACAAAGGTTAAATTTCAGATTAATTTATAAGACTATTGTACTAGCTATATTGCTTAAACAAGATTAAAATTTAAAATACTGACTAGCCTTCACAAATTGCTTAAAAAGGATTAAAATTTACCAAGGCTAAAATTCAAATTAATTAACTTGATATATTCTCTTATCAGATAAATGAAGTAATAAAGAATTACAGAAAGAAAAGTATATAAAAACGCCAAATAAGACTATTTTGTGTGATTCAGTGTGAATATTGACTAGCTATATGTGCAGAATGTGCTCCACAAAAATCTGCCACTTTATGAGAAACAAAGAAGAAAATTTGAAAAAGAAACTTAAGAAATAATGAAATATTATGATTATTAATACAACATTCAATTTCTAGTTAGTACAATGTCATTCATAGCTCTAATTACAGTTGTCACGTCTGACTTGATGATTATGGCATCAATACTTTTATACTTGCACTTAATTAATAGATTGATGTTAATTAATCGTTCCCAAACTAATGCAATACTTTTTTTTTTTGACAGAAACTAATGCAATACTTATCAATAATTATTGCTTACCGTATGTGACATTCCACAACTTTACACTTCTAATTTTCATGCTTTTTATTTACAAATAAAATAAAGGGTAATGCTATACTAACCCTTAGGGCTATATATAAGCATTAAAAAAGTCTTGAAAATTGTATAAAATTAGGAATTCATGACAAAAACACGCGTAGATCAGTGTAATTAGTGTGTTTTTGTCATGATTTTCTAAATTTAAACAATTTTCAAGAGTCTTTTTAATGCTTATATGTAGCCCTAAGGACTATATATATTCAAGAGTTTAAATTTAAATAAAGGCGCAATTATAATTACAATAACACTTTATATATTCATGATCAGCTTTTCTCGGCCCCCAAAGATTGAAACTTTGAGAATTGGAACAACCTTATTGTTACGTAGTTACCTTACCCTTCGGAAAAGAAAAAAGCTTTAATCATAAAAGTAAATTTTATAGCCCTATTGATTTAAAGAGGATTTACATTTTTGTACAAGTGACAACTACATATGACTTAACCTAGTCACATAATCCATAAGTGGAAGATGAAGATGTGGAGTGTGGGCTAACATGACTATATAATTATCATTAGACCTTTAAAGTCCACTTTTACCATTTCTAACTAATTAATCTAGAAAAAGCAATTAAACTAGTTAAGTGGAATCTATCATCATTTTCCTTCATAGTACTATATATATTAAGTTCACGTTCCCTACCAATTGATTAATTATATGGACGATTCTCCATACATAAATATGCATTTATTTAGTTATATATCTATTGATGTAATTGAAAATGTATGACATCTTTTTAACTGAAAATGACTCATTAACCACACCCATCAACATAATCTCCACAAGTTTGACAAGATTTTAAAGTTGATAACGACTTCTTAATTGGCATACAATGTATTAACAATGTTAATGCAATAACACATGTATGTTTTTGATGTGTAATTAAGAAGGATTAACCCTTTTTTTATATAAAATAAATAAATAAATAAATAATTTATGAAGATCGATCAAATTAACGTTTGATGTCCACAAAATTTATATTAAAAGTAATATCTAGCTAGCTTAGTGTACCTGTATATAGCAATTAGCAAACACATAAACTTATTTTAGTGATATTGGAGAATTTTATTTATCCATTAATAATAGTTTTTTTTTAACATACGGCGAAATATTTTATATATGTGTAGATATGTGTATACAATTTCACGCACCAGCTATTAAAATCTTAAAAATAGGGCTGAGCTAGTTATTTATTTTATTCATATCAAGAACATATAATAGTTTATAGTTTTTATTTTTATTTTTAGTTTTAACATACCGCGAAGTGTTTTAGATATATATGCATATAATTTCATGTACATGTTAAAATCTTAGAAATAGGGCTAGTCTTTATTTATTCAATTCATATCAAGTACTAGCCAATCAACAATTTAGACAAATCAAATTTGATATATAGTGCTATGTGTTCAAATTGATGTTCAACCTAACTCTAAAGACTTTTTCCTCTAATTAAATTCTTGGGGTTTGTCAAATATTAGAAAAATCCTTCATTAGGCTCTTAGATCATGATTAATATAGGCTTTAGGGATTATTTGGCAAAATTTTATAAATTGAACATTAATACATTGTTTATGAATCAAAATCCGTTATTCAAGTCCAAAAAGATGGTGCCATATTAGGGACTTAGGGTCTGTAAATTAATACATAGCAGTCAACTCGTATAATGTTCATATACTAAACGTTAAACTTCGTTTTACAATATCACCCAAAAAAGATAAATTTTATATTCTTACCAATCAAAAGAGCTTGAAATTTCAAATTAAAATGTTTTGTACGGAGTATATCAAGCTGATTATATGATAACATCAGATATTATTATAATACATAAAAGACTATGCTAATACTTGATTTTGTGCTCGTACTTCAATAGGTAAGAATGTAAGATGATCATATATATCTCACACTAAATTTATATACAAATATACAATGATAATGACAGTATTCTATTTACCCGATTTCACTTTCTAAACTAATTAATCTTATACGAGTATTATGGGCCTGTTTATAATTACTGAGCTGAACTGAATAGAACTTAACTGAACTGAATATAGCTGAAATGAATATTTTAAAAGTGAAAAAAATTAGGAGCTGAACTGAACTAAACTGATTGGAGCTGAACTGAATTTATTAGAGTCTAATAGACAATCTACAATACATAATTTGATGTACTTCCAAGGTTCAGAGATGTTATTTTTTTTGAGTTTATCAAATACGGATTTACTTGATTTTGACTTATATTGGAACTTATGAGAGTGAGGCTGATTCCAATTCAAGATGAACGAATTTAATAGCTGTCCTAACCACATTAATTAGTGTTTTCCTTGGGTTTGAATGTGATAGATAATACATCGTTCAAATTTAAGTAATTATACTAGCTAATCAAATACTCCGTATCTTATTAGCTAATCCAAGCATGCGTTGGTGGATATATATATATATATATATATATATATATATATATATATATATATATATATATATATATATATATATATATATATATATATATATATATATATAATAGAGAAGAAAATGATGACGTGAGAACTAAATTAAGGGAGGTTAATCGAATTTAGAAACAACAATTGCTTAGTTTTCCTTGAAGAAAAACGTTGTGCATGGGACAAACAACCCTTGTGTCTCACCCTACCGTTGTTTCAGCTGACAATACCAAACTATTCCTTTTATTGTCCTTTGTTTTTAGTTTTTGTAATCTACTTCACTAGTATACTACTAATACCAATTATATTTACTCGTACAAATTTTAAGGAAATTATTTTTTTGAAAAATATAGATAAATGATTATATCTAAGGACCATATAATAAAACAAACTCAAAGAATCGTACTACTTGTAATATTTTGGTTCGACCGAGTAAAATATTGTAACTTGAATTCTAAATTGATAAATTTTATGAACCGATTTTCAAAAAACACAAATTAACATAGTGAAATGCAAATTTATGTACGTGGAACTCAAAGTTAATAATTTAGTACTCCCTCCGTCTAAAAAAGAACGACCAATTTGGCCAAAACTTTGTCCCAAAAAGAATGACTTATTTGCATTAAAACACCACCAATTTGCAAAATATTTGTGCAAAATTAGCTTCCCCATATAAAAATTTGATTTTCCATGTTATTTTATTACTTTCTCTCTCTATTTTTTTACAAACCCCATGTAAATTTATCTTTCCAATATACTTTTACTTCTTTTTACTTAACTACCTTAATACCCGCATAATCAACTCAAATAAGTCGTTCTTTTTGGGACGGAGGGAGTAATTTGAGTCAACTAAATAAAATTAAATAGTGTGTACCTCGTAAAAGTTAAGGAATCTCTTAAATTAGCTCAAGACATCTAGTCAGTGCCTAAATTTGCATGGTTTTATCCATTTGGTTTTTTATGTTTACGTAAAACTTAATTTTCAATAAAAAGGTTATAATTTTCACAACCTTAATTATATGGACCTTCGTTGTGGAATTAAGCTATTATTTGTATCTTTCATTAGTTTTTCTTGTTTGGAACCTCATTAAGCATGGGTAAATGTGAGTAAATTATAGCATGTTGTTTAATTTCAATAGATTGCAATGTACTACACTACTACGGACAGTACTAATTAGCAAAATCAGATTCCTTTACCAACTGAAAACTCTGATCACAGCCACCAACAAGCTTGTAGATAATCGACACAATACTTATTTGATTACAAATTATGACTTATGAGCTTGTATTATAATTTTTTTTTTTCATTTTAGTTAAGCTAAGTTCAGTTCAGTTCACTTCCTCCCCAATCAGTTTAGTTCAATTCATTAATCGAATCAGGCCCTTACATGTTTTCGGTCACACCATTAGTTGATGGTGTGACCACTTCACATATAAGCAACTAGTTGAGTTGTTAAGGGTATAATGATGATCAAATGAGGTTATGTTGATGGATTAAGGGTTAATGCAATGAAAATGGGAGCTACTTGCTAAAAACAGGTTGAATTATTGTTTTTCGAAGGTAAAATTGACTGAAAAGTGAAAACACCTTGTTTTTAGGCAATTTGTATCTAGTACCTTTTTTTGTCAACTAATAACTTGAATTAAATTTTATTTTAATAAAATGTCACCTTAATGACGGATTCTGATCCGGTGTTTTGGCTCTCAATTTCCCACCGATTTTGGTCATGATGGAGCGCTCGAGAGCCGGCTAATGTACAAATAAGAAATCCAAAGCATTTCTACCTTAATTCTTCCCTCTCCTCGTTCATTTATCGATTGAAGGTTATAATTATGCAAACTTGCGTTGCCGATTTGTTACTTTATTCATGGGATCGTGGTCGTGATGTATGTGTCAACTTCACAGGGTCTTCTCCTTTGACACAAACAGGGCTATCTGACTTTGTTCCGGGACGGGTTGTGGCTGATGCGGCTCATCGGAAGCGGGTTAAGTATGAAGCTCGTTGTCTGGCGATTGGATACGGTTTCATTCCCTTCTCCTTTTCTTCGCTTGGGGATTTAGAAAAGGAGACTGTTGCGTTGCTGAAGCGGATTCAAAGGTTCTCAATGACGCAAGACATTGGGGCTCGTGGGGGACGGGGTTACTTCATTGGTTTGTATAAGTCTTTTTGTTTCATTAATTATTACTATTATAAATACGTCCTGGTATGTGCTGCAGCTCATATATTCACTAGGGTAGGCTTTGCTATAGCTAGAGGAGTGGGGCCCAGATTGTATCTCAGCTTCCCACTAATTTATTGTAGGTTGTATAACTTTTGTTTTTGAGATAATAATAATAATAATAATAATAATAATAATAATAATAATAATAATAATAATAATAATAATAATAATAATAATAATAATAATAATAATAATAATAATTATTATTATAAAACAACTTTCAATTGGGGAGGCAATGGTAGATTAATCAAATTAAACTTATACAACTTAGGTGCATGAATCTTCAACTATGTGCATCACACGAGCACAAAGTTAGAGAGAAAATGAAAGTTGAAAAAAAAAAAAGAGTAAGGTACTAATTTACAATTGACTTACAAACAAGGTATTTTCTGGCAATTTTTCCTTTCTTGAATAAAAATATAGAGTTACTTAAATTTTACAAATTGATGTTTTTTCGTAAAATGTATATATTGGGAGTTAAAATTACGCTTTTTTTTTTTTTTTTTTACAAATCGATGTTACTTGTAAAATGTATTGGGAGTTATTGTTACATTATTTTTTTTTTTTTTGAATAAATATTGGAGGTTGTATATTCATTATGGTAAAATTTTTTGAAATAAATTCATTATAGTAATTAAAAAAAGGGCTTGTCAAAAAAAAATATATATTAAAAAAGGGTTAGTAATAAAATTTTAAACCCAGGCTAAAATGGGCCTGGATAAATCTAAATCCAGCCCAAGAGGCCGAGAGAGTATAAAAAATTTGGGCCACGTTATAAATATGCCACAACAACACAGGATTTCTTGCGCATTGTTCCCTTTTGCTCTTTAACTCTTTAGTTAAAAGACCTCTCAACAAAAATACAGCAATTTTTGAGAGTTTTGCAAAAATGAGCATACTATTCTTCTCTCAACAAAACTGAAAAAGAATAAAAATTACTCGGAAAAGCACAATGCTTGTATATTTGTGTTAAGTATAGTAAACCCAACCCCCCAAACATGGTTCGTGGTGCCTGAACACATGTGGTGAGTTTCAGGTTCAAGTTTTGATAGGAGTCATAGAAGCATCATAGATGAGAAATAGATCGGAAAGTAGTCTAGCTCTTACAGACCATTCAGCATATCACCTTCACGCTGTCAAGGAAACCGATGGCATGCCAACTCCAGCCCCAAAAGTTGAACACTGCAATAATCTTCACGAAACTATTCTGTTTATACAAGAAACAAGTTTATAGATAAAACGTCTCAAGTAAAAGCACCATATTATGGGCGCAAATGCTGTACTGTTTGCTAGCAAACACAAAAACATATAATTGGACCAACGGCTTTACACTAGACAGATGAATACATCTTCTTGAGTTATTGCCTGCATAGATTTACATATTCCACACTGTTGTAGTGACTGTCATGCAACACAGTTATTTATGGCAACATGGATTCTTCAGAAATATTTGTTGCCATATGATTCAGAGACTATCAGAATTCAGAACAATAAAACAACTAGATATGGTTCATAATAGTATGGATCATTCAGATTATGTAGTAAAATGAGTAGCTCAATACATCAGGTCACAACATGAATTAGGAAGGGGATAAAAATCTCTGATTAATTCAGAACGACCCGACTCAAAACTATGCAGGTTTGCAGCAATTACGCAAATTGACATAAATCATGGTTTCACAGAGTAAACAATTAATGTTCAACCTCCCATTGAGTGACTACATGGGCTAGAGAAAAAGCACTCCATAGAAACAAGTATACTGCTCAGGATCAAAGGAGAGGAAGAAAAAAATCCTGAGTATAAGAACTTGTATTCAAGTTCAGATGTCAGGTATAACCTAAGTTTGAAAAGCATAGCACAGAGCCGTGATAATGATGTAAACTGAATCATGGGCAAATAATAGCAAGAAAACGATCCAAAGGGCAAATTACTAATGGATTATAAAAAGCCATCTAAATTATATTGATCTAGGTATAAAAGCAATTTAGTGACATAAATCACGAAAGCATAACACAAAAACTATTGGAATAGTGTAGTGACAAGAGTAGAAGAATGGGCCAAACATTAACAGTATCACAATGATATTGATCCCAAAATTACTTCACAAAGTCCCATTATGAGTTGACTCAATCAATACCACAAGCAGTGATGATTGATGAATATTCATGATGGATAAGAGATATTTAGAAGGTGGAATGGTAGATAAGGAATAACATGGACATTGGCATAGCGTAAAGCCTCACAAAATTACACATAAAGTCGTAAACATTACCACCTTTAATTACTGCTTTCAATATAGGCCAATAAAGGATTAAGCAATACCTTGCAAAGACAAACATACTGACTTTGCAAACCCAATTACTGAAGAAAACTGAGCACAAGTTATAAAATTACATTCAAAGCATACAATTTAGCATCACAACACACACTGAGACAATCACGATTGGCAAGAAAAATTTCACCTTATCATTAGATTCATGATGGTTGATACAATTATAGTTACTTTGGCACTCTGAAGATCAAAGAGTGGTAACCAAAGTTCTCTAACTATGACAACAATATATGCTTACTGCCAAGATTATGTCTAGTACTACACTACTCAAAAATAGCAATACCACATACTAATTGAGCACAAGTTAAAAGAAAACTACCAAAGGAATTCATTAATATGATATAACATCTTTGAATCTAGTCCATATAATAAAAAAAATGCTCCTGAATCAGTGATGGTAGAGATATGAACTCCAAGAATAATGCCGGAGTAGGCCATCTTCTTCAATGATAAAACAGCAGAAGTACATATTCACTTCAGATCTTGCCTGAAAGGCCTTTCTCTTCATCCTTTATAAATTTCTCAGCATCACCCTCATTATCACTTTGCTTAGATAGGGCAGATTCACGCGGTGATGGAGCACCAGTGACCGATTGTTGATAGAGCACGCCACCAGTAAGTGTAAAGAGCAAGCAAACAAGCCCGAAAGGGCTAGCATGTTTATCCCAGATCATCACATTAATCGAAACAGTGAGAAACTTATTCACCACCCCTGTAACAGTGAAAGCAGTAGCAGAAATTGCCTTCCTAGCAGCAAACCCAAAGAAGCTAATCAACAACCCAAACACACAAGACAGTGCAACAGCAAAGAATGCTGTAGTATTAAACCAATCCCCAGCACTCGACGACAAGGCATCAAAAACCTCAGTATACTCCCCTGTGATGATCCAAAACACGGGCGCCATCATCAACGACAACACATTGTTGTAAAACACAAAACCCCAAGTGTTCAATCCAAGATTAGTCACCATATGCTTGATATAAACCATTTCAGTAGTAATGGTCACCAAATACGCAACTGCCCACGAATAAGCAGTCAACGTAAACCCCGAATCAGTGGCAACATAACCAACAGCACCACCCAAAATCACCAGCAATGACACAAATGTCAGCTTAGATGGCAAGGGCTGTTTCCTAAAGGTAGTATCAGCAAGGGCAACCAACAGGGGAGTACACGATCGAAACACGATAAATGTATCGACATTGGCGTGTCGTAGGAGGTTCGTATTTGTAAATATAGCAAGGAAGAACACAAATGCAGCAGGCAAAAATTTCTTAGCAATGTCAACAGTAAAAGGATCATGATGCAAAAACCCTAGTTTCCCCAAAATCCAAACCCCTAAAGCAGAGGTTAAATACTGCAAAGCAGTCAACAATCCAGGATAATTAAACTGAGTAATTGCATATTTGTTGATCACAGCTAATAAACTTGAACAAAGAGCATACCCAATTACAAGACTACTAGTTGCATAATGTTGTTTTGTAACCTCCAATTTAACAGGAATCATGGTTACAAAATTTCACCTTAATTTGGGTCAAAAGATGACAAATTTCTACAAAATTTGATACACCCAGATGAAATTTCTTGCTCTAATTGACAAATTACAGCATTTGGATTAATGGGTAGATCTTAATTGCAAGAAATCACAATCAAATCTGACTAACAAAAACAGAAATTCTCATTCATATAAATTGAAAAAATAAAAAAGAGGAGAGAGAAAATTGGGAAAAACCTTAGAATTTGAAAATGGCTGCCAACATCTCACGTCGGTGATGAGAAGAGAGAGAGAGTGTGTGATAGTTAGCTTGAATCAAGGATGGTTATGGAGGAGTTGAATTTTCAATTGAACAATAAATACAAAAAAACGACGTCGTTTCGTAGAAATTTAACGTGAAACCATGTCGTTTTGGTTGGCCGACAGGAAATTTATGTTTGAGAAAAATAAGAAAATGGTTTTAAATTGGGACCCACCAAAAAAGAAAAAAAATCAGATCACGTGGTAAAATGGAAAATGGCATGAGATGGGGTGGTGGTAATGTACCTTGTACTAGTATAAAATTAATTGTATTCTGAATTAGTAATTGCTTTGTCGTGTGATCGATTTGAAGAAATTTCAACCTCTTTTATTAGCAAGTTATATTTCTTCTGTAATTTTAGTCATTTTAGAGGTTCAGTAGATTATTTATAATGTCAGATATTAATGATTCAGAAATTAAATAAATCACTGTTATGAATTTATGGAATTCTGAAAATAATGTCGATTTTTCAAGTATATGAGGCGTGTTTTCACGGTGCATGTAAATTTTTTCACGGTATTTTAGTAATTATTGTAGTACATTACATATCGTTGAAATTTCTAAAAAGAATGATATGAGTTGTCGCATATTTGATTATCTTAGGAAAGATATTGAAAGTTTGATGGCTCGCCTTGTTGTTGCCAATTGAATTACTGAGATATCATCTTTTTTTTTTTAAGTGGTCTACACTTATTCTACTTGTATAAGTTTTGTCATTTTGACAATCTGTATTATGGTATGGCTAAGAATTGAAGTGAAATAAGTTGAGTTGTTTATTTAGTACGGAGTACAACATTTGCACTTCTTAACAAGCTTATCTAGGCTTTCGCAATCAAGTCCAACTTTCATGAAAAGTAAAGCTTTAATCCTTATCAATTAACAATTTAATTAATGGAAACTAAACTAAATTGAAATAACATCATATAGGTAGTATTATCTTTCATGCTCAACACTTCAACCTAACAAACACTTAGGGCCTGCTCTCATACATTAATTTTCAGTTAATTTGATGACATTTTTTTTCAGACACTGAAATTTTAATTCATGGTTATATTACAATTATTATTGTAATTCACTAGTAATTTTTTTTTTTTTTTTTGGTGTTCCACCCGGTTCACCCTTTGGGCTAATCCGGATTTGGGGATCAATTCTGGGTGGTTAGGTTCCAGTCCCCTCCCGATTGTTGTTGCGGGGGATCGAACACAAGTCCTCCCTACCAAGTGTAGACCAAATCACCACTACACCAACAACCAATTGGTAATTCACTAGTAAATTAGATTAGCTTAATGTATGTTAGTTTCTTAAACCTTTACATGATAGAAATACCAGCTATATTAATGTAGAAATTTCTAACAAAATTCTACTCTTTAATTATAACAAAAGGCTGTATTTTGTAGCTATCTCTCTATATATAAGCATTGTCTAATAAGGTAGGAGCCGATTAATTCCTACGTACAACTACTTAATGAGAACAATTAAGCAACAAATTTAAATCTACTTGAGAAAACAAAAATTTACTAATTAGCACGCGCTAAATGCTAATTAAAAACCCGGGTTGCTACTTGCATTGCTACTCTAATTATGCAGCAGGTGCATAATCATAAGTTCCATCATCATCGTCGTCGTCACCATCTTCCCTTGTTGTGCATCTTTGAGAGGCATACTTGTAGCATGATCTTATATCATCCTCAAAACCATTGTTGTTGTTGTTGCCCCTCCTCAAGCCAAAATCCACCAAAGTAATTGACATTTCTAGGTTATAAATTAATTAAAGATAAAATTATCACAATGAACAAATAATTATATGCTTAGCTTAGATTTTGTAATGATTTGTGTTGCATCTTTAATGGTGTAGACTATGGTGCTTATATATACAACAGGAAGTCCAAACACACATAAAAAGGTTGTTGGACATGCAAAGGCACACGAAAAAGCTAAGAGATTCTTTTGTGGAATGTGCATTACTTAAGGCTTAAAGTGCAAACCCTAAGTACTAGGCATAAATGGCATCATATGTCCATATGTCGTATTGTCGTCCATCCACGTAAGAGCACGAAGGACAACTCAGCAACACGTCGGCTTGGATTTAGGTACGTATATAGTCTTAGGGTTGGATAAAAAGGCAAAAAGCTATACATGAGGGATTTATAGGCAATTTTTGGTCTCAAATATTATTGGGAAAGGTATATATGGTGTGAGGGGTCATATTGCCCTTTTGTTAGAGGAGGTGAAATTAAAGATTTTAAGAGTGTATCGTATATGCTTTTGTGTCTTGTATTTGTGTATGTTGGTTGTTGGGACCTACAAATTATATCTTGTTGACTTGTTGATATGTTGGACTATGATTTGCTCAAGCGCCAAGTGTGCACAAATAGAAATAACCTCTTTTTTTTTTGTTGGTAAGGAGAGAAGGATCCTACTATACCAGGTCGAAACCTCTTTAAGGTCTTTCCGATCCGGATTAATGGATTAGGCACTTTATAAGTGAAGGAAGGGTAAGAGAATCCTTACCTCAAAGTGTCACTAGTAAAGTTTGATCTCGCAGATACAAACTTTGCCAATAAAACAAGCTTACTATGGTAACTCTTTTTGTTTGAAACTATATGTTTTTGTATATAACCATATCGCTCTTATTTATATTTACTTCGCATTTTAAATTTATTTCAATTTTACCTATTTTGTGTATATATGCTTAAGATAATAATAATAATAATAATAATAATAATAATAATAATAATAATAATAATAATAATAATAGCTAGATTTGTCTTGCTTTATACTTTAAGTTGCAAATATCAAATTTATATAATTTTTTACAAAAAAAAATAAAAAAATAAAAAAATTAAACACTACCTTAGTTAATTGTTATTTACATCTTTGGAATTTTTTATATCTCAAAAATAATAACCTAAAATTGCATATAACAATTAACGTCTATAGGTAGTATATACTTCGTATATTATTTGCCAAAGTTTGGGTTGCAAGCATGAAACTCTATGGGAAAATACATGTTTATCTGCCAGATAAACGAATTTTTTGTTAATCTGGTGGCATTTTTGTAAATATATTGAACAAGCAAGGTCATTTATTCAGTACTTTTGGTGAGCTGTCCAATTATTGTTTACTTTTTGCTTTTACTATTTGGTGAGAAAATTACACATGTACCCCTCAACTAGTACATGAAAAGACGCATATACCCCTCCACTGATACTTGAAAAGACAATTATACCCCCAGATAAACAAATTTTGTTTATCTGGGGAATTGACTGAGTATTGCTCAAACTCTATATCATAAATTTAAATAATTAATATGTGTTCAATTATACTTTAGTTTAGATCATTTTGGGATATGTGTTTTCATAATGGGAGAAACTTTAGAATAACTTATATCTATAATTCTAAAGGTAATTAAGGGCACACAAAAATTACTAGTGTACTTTAAAAGTAGTAAATTCTTATATTTTATCAACCCATGGCCTTGATCGGCGAAATGCAGCTATAAAGGTGATCGTTAAATGTGAATTTATGATAGTGGATGTTAGCTGTGGGAATAGCTATTATATAGCTTCAACAAGTTACTCAGTGTAGGTGTAGGATAATATTTTATTCCAGATTATTAGTTGTGAAGATAGATGGGAAACATCATGAGATAAAGGAATAGTAAGGAGTATATGTCAATGTTCATGTAAGCACTGTTAGAAACAAAGGGCCTATCAGATTAGTAGTTAAGTTTAAAAATCTCTTTCATTATGTACTTACTACTTTTAATTTGTAACTAGAATTTTTTGTAAAGTTGCATTTACATGCATATTACTTCATTCGTGAGATTTAATTATCATGGCGTAGAACAGTATTTGCAACAAATAATAGTGCATTGATATTTTGATTATTAAAATACGAGTATGAAGTAAGAGAAGTTGCAAGATCAAATTATATAACTAAACAGCTGATATATATGGTCCACGTACATTACCAGATCTAGACCATACAGTACTTAAAAATCATTCAAAAATTGAAGGTACAAATCAAATATTGCCAATTTTTTTTTTTTTTTTTTTTTTTTTTCCCCCGGCAATTCATCTTTATCTCATCCAATTTGTGTTGCATCATCTCAAAATTTATGGATAACATTGTACATATTATGGCATATCATTTGAATCTATAACTAATTAAACTACACCCAACAAAAATCTAGCTATTCAACTATTAAGCAGCAGGTGCAAAATCATATGGAGCATCATCGTCATCGTCATCATCCCCTTCGATTGCACAAACCCCAACCAAGTAACTACATTTAACATGATTAATGCAATCATAATCTTCTTTGTGAGCTTGAAATTTTCTCAAGAAAATGGCCATTGTATTAAGTTAGAACTTTCTATAAATAGAAATTTCCGAAGAGATCGACTTTGTAAGGTTGGTAAGCGAACTAAGGAGGATTGTTTGATGATTTTCGAAAGGACATTGAAAGGTTTATATAGAGGGCAAGCTTAGAAGCAGATAAATATTCCGAGGCAACGTAATGTTTTGTGGCGCAAGTTTAGCTCGTGTATAAAGTGTGCTTACCCTTTGCTCAATTGTGTAAAAGCTAATGCTATGCATGCTTGCTTGCATAGAGTAATAGTGTTGTTGAATGTTGAACATTTTACAAGAAGGAATCAATACTTACATATATGTAAAAGGTAAGATTATATTCGATTATATATGCATGTGTATAATATATGTAGTCATCTTGTTGATATTGCTTTTTGTCCGATGTTGATATTTTTGGTACATAATGTATTTGATTCTTCACTCTATCTTTATCGTGTCCTTATTTCCTTGTTGTTGTCGTCTACATAAGAATTTTCTAGATAAAAATTAAAAATTAAAAAAAAAATCCAAAAAATTAAATGTTCAAACACTAAACAAAAATAAATCATTTTGATATACCGTATCACTACCTCCGCTTCTTATAATTTGTAACTTTATGGGGGGTTTTACAGGCTCTTAGGCAAAACTTGTTTGCAAGTGTTAAGTGATTAGAGTAATTAAAAATAAAGATGCATGTGACAAGGAGAGAGTTTGAGAGAATGCCAAGTAATAATTAAAAAGGAATGAATTTTTTTTTCGCAAATAATATAAAATATTCGCCATTGTTGACAAATGTTGCAACTAACATAAAGTGGAGGTAGTATCAA